TACAGATCTGTTCTAAAATTTAGATAATCATCGATCATCTATAAAAATGATTTTGATTAACTATTTTAGTCTAAATCTATATGATTTTTTTTCAAATGACAAAAAGCGACAAGTTTGGTTAAATCTAAAAAGATATATTTCAAGTTAATATTTGAAGTTACGAAGATTTAGAATCCACTGAGGTTATTACTAAATCTACCCGTGGGTCTAAATTGTGCATGTTTAAAAAATAGTTAATTAATTGAATTTTTATACTTGATTCAAGCTTTTTTTTATATTTTATTTATGCTAATCTAATTGTAATTTTGTTTAAAGTAGTTCCATTAAACCATGAGTTAGCATAATTTTAGCAGCTAGTCTCAATATCACGAAAGAATAAGAAAGCTTAATGTTGATAAATATAGCTGTAAGATAATAAAATTTATTACTTTAAAACTGTATAAGATTTTTAAGTTCTTTATACTATTTCTTCATCAGCTAGCTCACTAACTATATTTTCTTCATTCACGATTTTTTTAGCATTATTTAAATCTCTAATTTCTTGTAAAATAGTTAGCAGCATAGCTTTTGTCTTATTTTTTAAATTAATATACTTTGGGCATTGTTTTTCGAAATTTAAAACAAGCACTAAATTGATGATTAAAATAAGTTCTTCTTTTCTTATTATATTTTCATTTTTCAATACATCAGATTCCTGCTTTGTTATTGGAATTGGGTACTAAATATCATTATCTGTTTGCCATAATAAGGTATTTTTAATAAATTTTTGCCTTTTTTCCTGTGCTAATATACTAAATGATTTTATTTCTTCACTTAGGTTAACATCACCATCCAAATTAGTTATTGTGTTATTTATGATTTCTGGATTTAAAAACTGTTTTTTTCTTAAATATGTACGAATGCATTGTTGCTTAATATAAGAATCAAGTTGGGTTTTTAGTCCTAAATTTTCATTATCTTCATATCTAATAATATTAAACAGGTTGGTATGCAGCTAAATTTTTTTTAATATTGTATTGAAATTAATTTAATGCTAATAATATATAAATGCACAAGTAAAAAATAAAAAATTCAATGTGTCAAATAGCACTATTTGAATGCTATTCGAATAGTACCATTCGACATATTTAATTTTTTATTTTTTTACTAACGATGATACTAGGATGGCTCCCAAAAGTTCAAGTTGATAATTAACATCAATATTGTAGCATACAATATGGATCATAGCATGAATTTGTTATTGAATAAAGTTTCATTATAATCATATATTATAGTAGCTATAATAATAATATTGATTATTAATCTGAACCTTATAGAGATAATATGTATACAAATAAAAATTACTTTGAAAAGTAGCATATCTTTAGAGGATGGAAGTACGGGTGTAAGGTTTGTAACGAATGCAACCATCATTCACATTTATATTGTAAGACATGCAAAAAAGTAGCAGACAGAATATATAAGCGATGTGAAAATAATATGTAAATCTGAATTAGCAATTCAGTAATAAAGTTCAGAAGTTATAAAGATATTCATATGTATTAATTTATTATTATCTGAATCACCTTATAGGGTTTATAGTTATATATACATATAACTCATTTGTGAGATAGGGTGCAAGTACAAAATCTCATTTTTTCTAAAACGTGACTAACACGTATTCAATAACAAACAAGTATATATAGATAATTTCGATAGCTTTGCTCATGTGAGGTTCGAAACTTTTAGACCAGAAAAAAATTTGGATCAAGCTTGTTCTAAACAATACGTATAAAAATTGTGTTTTATAATAGACAAACTTGACTCATTGGAAATTTATAATGCTGAACATAGGAACATATAACAGGTCTGTATAATATTAAAAATTTTCATATATAAATACACTTTCTACAATATACAGTGCATAACACCTAAAGACTAAAATAAATCTACTAAATTTTAAACATTAATAGCTCATGATATAAAATTATATAATAAAAAAAAAAGCCGCCAAATTGTAGCTAAATCAATTTATTACAACTTAGCGGCCTCTTTTTTT